CCTTTCCCAGAATGGCCAATGAATTGGAATCCTGTGGTGGTAGCCTGTTGAGTCTGGCTTCTTTCCCTCAGCAACACACATCTAAGACCACCCATATTCCTGCGGGCATCAGGGGTTCATTCCTTTTCCTCACTGAGTCATCTTTGTCTGAAGAGTGGAACCCCCTTTCTCCCCAGTACCCCTGTTGAAGATCATCTCAGTGGCCTCCGGGTGTGAGTGACAATCAATCAAGCAGTGAATGTGGCATGTGGGTTTTATTTGCACGTCAGTTTTCAAACCATTGTGGTCAATATCTGTGACACTTTGGGGATGTGTGGTACAAGGCCACTGAGCTTTGTGAGCCACGGCCCATCTGACTTCCAAAGTGCCCTGTCGTGTGTCCACCCATCATGGATGAGCGTTTCCAGGGCCCCGCATCCTCCCTGGTATTTTGGGCTGTCAGTGTTGCCCGGGAAGGCTCCCGAGCCCCGCCATCCTGCCGCCTTCCCGTGGGTCTCTACCCTGGCTCATTGTGGGGCATGGAGAACACTTTTCACCATCTGCATGATTTTTTTTTTTTTTTGCTGCCTCCCGTCTCCTTGGGAGCCACCTGGGTTCTGTCCCCACATGTCCCAGCCCGGCCCAGGGCTTAGAGCCCAGGAGGTGCTCAGTCCATAATGCTGGCTGCTGCCTGGGCCAGGAGAGCCCTTGGCAGCTCTGTCACTTTTCCTGAGTGACCGTGGCCTCTGCCCTGGGGAAGCCCTCATCCCTCTGGATCGCCCCCATGTTCCCTGGTACCCCTGCAGCCCCCATAGGCCTTACCTGACTCCAAATCATTCTCTAAACATCACGTGGTTCTGCAGGGTGTGGCTGACATCTGCCTTGATGTGGTGGGTGATCCTGGATGACCTCTTTCCCTTCTCCTTCATGACCCGTAGGGCAGGGCTGAGAGGAGGAAGCAGCCTCAGAACAGACAAAAGACTCCCTGCCCCTGACGGCAGTCATCCCACAGTCAGCACTTCTGGAAGGAAGGGAAGGTTTCCTTCTGCAGAAAGCTCCTTTTTGCCTTGTTTCTGAAGCCCGGGAGGGTCAGCAGAGCCCAGTGTACCTGCAGTGCCTGAGTTACCAGATGTGCCCAGCATGTGAGTCTGACCACCGCCCCCACCCCCAACCTGGGCTCGACGTTCCCTCCAGCTGGAGTCCTGGGCTTCTGACATGGCCAGGCCTGTTTGTCCTGCCCTGGCTGAGTATGGGAGGGCTGTACCTTGTCTTCCCCTGGGTTCTCAGCCTTCGCTTTGTCAATGTCTAGCAGGAGTGACCACGCCCAGCCCCGCACCACCAGGGGAATGCCTTTGTACACAATGTCTTTGTACACAGCTAAAGACAAAAGAACACTCCAGTGAGACAGGACACGGGGCGACTCAGGGAGGAAAGCTGGTGAACAGGCCTGCTGTCCTATGGTGAGGATGGGATGCCACCCACCCACTGATGCAGAGGCAGACGGTGCCAGGTCACAGCCATGGGTGCCTGTCTCCCGGCTCTACAGAGAGCAGTCACGGGGGCCACTTCCTCCCCATGTTACCTTCTTGCTGCTCCCATATTTTGTCCAGTCTCCAAGCATCTTCGGCCACTTGTCAGTGCGTTTTATTTCCTGCCATCTTTGCTGTCAAAGGAGCCATGATGGAGTTAGTGGAGCTGCCAGGCCTCTGACAGTGGCCCGTGGATGCTGGGTCCTGGGCTTTGGGGCCCTGAAGGGACCCAACCTGAAGGAGCCAGGAAAGGGAAGACCCCAGGGGCTGAGATCCTCTGAACTAACTGGAGCTGGGGATCTGGACTGGTGATACCAGGACACGCCATCCTCAGGGCACAGATGCCCTGAGTGTTAGTTGGGTCCCAGCCTTCAACTGGGGACTTGGTACAAACAGGCAGTGGACTCTGAGCCAGGACTGCAGTTCTTGGTTTGGGTTTTGGTCAAAGCCTCATGGGAACAGAGTCCAGCCAGAAAGGCCCCCCTCCCAGTGACAGCCATGGCCCACTGACCACTGCCCGGGTCCACCAGCCGCCACCTCTGCCTCACCGACCACCCCTGATTCCCTATCCTTGGAGTGGCCTCCCACACAGCAGGCACAGGCTCTTACCTTCACCTCCGGGGCACTGACAGGGGCAGCTCCATCTCACTGTAGGGCAACCCAGGCAGAGATGAGGACCTGTCCAGGGCAAGAGCCATCCCCTTCCCTGAGAGGGCCCCAGGGAAGGACCAGCCCAACCCTATCCACCCTAAGTCTCAGCCCGGGACAAGGCACAGACAAGGAAAGCAAGGGCCTCCCTGTGGAGCTGACACCTGCGAGGCACCAGGACCCTGGAGAAGAGGGAGCTCTAGGCTGGCTTGGAGGGAGCCACTTGGGACCTGCGGGGTGCCTCAGGCTGCACAATGGGGCTGCCCCTCCTGGGCAAGAGGCGGCACCCTCTGTGGGAGCTGAGAAAGTCCAGTCCTGAGATGGGATGGGTGCTGCCCGGGGGGGTGGCTGAGCCCTGACTGACAGCAGTGCCTCGAGAGTGACCACATCACCCACCAGAGTCCGGGGAGCCTGGCCTGAGAGCTGCCCAGTGCCCTGAGGACGCACCTGGAGCCCATCCCAGCTGACACTCCCCATGGGCCTTGCAGGGTTTGACCTCCCAGCGTGCACCTGCCTCTGCCTGCGCCCTGGCCGCTGACCCTGCCTGTTCCCTTCTTCCCTCCTCCTGCCTGACCCAGAGACTGTGACCCTCCCTCTGGCCACCCTGGCCCTTCTTTGACCCTTTTCCTGTCAGAGCCGAATGAGACCTCCCTCCCTGATCCATCCACACCTCTGCCTTGGCCACTCTCTCACTGGGGTGCCCAGTGCTGCTGGGGAGAAGCCTTGGGTGACAAGGGTGACCAAAGGCCCTGCAGGCAGTGGGGATGGCCCTACCACCCCCGCCTCAAGCCTCAACCAGTTCTCAGGGCAGTCGGCCTTCCGCCCTCAGCCACCTCCCAGCCACTGCAAAAACCAGGACATGGGGTGCCTGACTGTCCTCCCCCTACTGTCCTGCCTGCCCCTACTCCACCTCCCCCATTCCCCCTCTGTAGTGCTGACTGAGCCGGTGGGAAGCAGAGTCTCTGGAGGGCCACACAGAGCCTTGGGGACTGACCAAGTGCCCCCACTGAGGGGTCCCAGGTGGACTACACTTCCTTGCCCACCCCATCTGCCATGGGATTCTTTGGGGGATGTAGGTATGCAAAATAATGTTGGGGGTGCAGGGTGAATATTTCAATGTACATTATCATGTATTATCTTACTGTGTAAATGCTTCTAAGAATAGTTAAGTAACTTAAGGTTTGCATGCTACTCAAAATATAGCTTTAAATGCTAATAAAAAATGGATGCAAATGAAAAGTCTCTCTTGCTGTGGTCCAGGGAATCTTTCTTTCAGACAGACTTGCAGCTTTGAGCTGGAGCTGCCCTCTCCTTCCTGTCCACTGCACACCCCCACAACACACACATATGTACACACACATATGCACACACACATATGCATGCACACACCTGCACATACACACACACTGTGCATCATGCCCTCACTAAGGAGGCATGGAAGGGAATGTGTGTCTGTAAGAAAATGAAGAGGGCTCAAGCCCCTGGCTCCCTGGGGATTTGCACAGACGCCCTCCCTGCAGACCATTCTTTGGTCTCGTTCTCTCTCTTAGTGAAAGAGAAAAGCAGGGCCTCAGCAGGTACCTGGCTGCTCAGTGCTCAACCCAAGGTCACAAGCTTCCTCAGGAGCCTGGTGAGATGGGGGCACCACAGAGCCTCCCAAACCGAGGGGGCAGCGTTCAGTGGAGCCTTGAGCTGAGGAAGGTGATAGGCAGGACGTCTTGGTTCATTAGACACAACCACAATGCAGTGAGGAAGGGCAGCCGCCTAAGGTTTTATTCTCCAGGAGGAGGGGCTCTCGGGGGCTGTGAGCAGGAGGCACAAGGACTTTATTGCACATGTGGTTAGGTGATGGCGACCTATAGCTGCACTGGGAACTGGGACCCAGAGTGCCACGACCTCCTGCTCTGTCTCTCTCTTCCTCTCTGCCTCCTCTGTCTTTCTCTTCATCTCTCTTTTTTTCCTCTCTCTCTCTCTCCATCTCTTTCCCTCCTCCTCTTCCTCCTTGCCCCTGTTCCGGCACCTAGGGCACTCTCTTGGGTGTGTTCGCACACAATGCCAAGGCTGCCATCTATCAGGGCACCCTCACAGGATGCCTCCACCTTCCATCACCCACAGGGTTGAGGGTCCCAGGTATGACCGCGCTCTCCTGGGTGGGCGTGCTGTGCTCGGGGAAGCAGAAGCTGCAGGTCTCCACTGGCTTAGGTGATGTGCCCACAGGGCTGTCGGCTTTCATCTGGTGATCTGCAGAGGTGAGAGTGGAGGGCGTGGGCCAGGCCTGGCCCTGCACTGGGGTAGGGGTGACTGTGGGCAGCCATACTCTCCCCTGACCCAGGAACTAAGGGCAATCACCAGGCTAGGGTCATCGGGGGGACCCAGGCGGGTGTCAGTGTCCCTCACTTGCTTACCAGAACATGTGCTGGGGCAGGGGTGAGCAGGCAAATCTTGGCTCTCACTTCTGCCCAGCCCCAAGCCTGCCATGCCCACCAAAGAGACACCTCCTCCAGGGCTTAGCCCTGATGGCCCTGCATCCTGAGAACCCCTAGCTCAGGCAAACCCGAAGGCCAGCACCCCACACCCACCCTTCCCGGGTGCCACTCTCCTGGATATCTGCCTGCCAGGATGTCTTAAACTGATTTTATCAAGCTACAGCGAATAACAGGGATGAGCCCCAGGCCTGAATAACAGGGATGAGCCCCGGGCCTCTCCACTTAGAAGCAGGGGCAGTGACAGGACTGAGGGATGGCCCGCGGCTTGTCACCCAAGCAGTGAGAAGGGTGAGGACCCCAGTTTCATGCACTCACCCTGGGAAGACTTGGCCGGACTTTGACAGGGCCTTGAGCAGGGCTAGCAGGAGCAGGGACCCCTCCTTCTTGAGGAAGCAGGCCACCACCATCAGGAAGCAGCAGAGGACGGCCCACAGGCAGAGCCCCAGCGTGCTGTAGACCAGGGCCAGCTGATCCGCACTCAGCTTCAGCCCCAGGAGAGCTGCAAGACAGCATGAGACCCCTCTCTGCAGTGCCTTCTCCTCTTCCCCTCCTTAGGCTCAAGCAATCCACATCCCCCCATCTCCCTGCTGCTGGCCGTCTGGCTCCTGGAGAGGCTGGGCTCCTTCCTGACCCTGAGGCCGGCTGGGATGCTCTCTGGGTCCTAGAGGAAGTTGATCCACTCCCCCATCCTGGTGGCAACTTCCCAAGGCCTCGAAGCTGGACAATGTGAGCGGGTGCAGGATTAATAGGTCCAGGATTAATCTGTTACAAATCTGATGAATCTCTCACTGGCCCTGGGTTATGAACTCACATTGCAAGCAGAAGGCTCATGTTGCAGTTACCAGAGAGTGGGCTCGTTCCACAATGGGGGTCACCCACACTTGCAGCAGATGCTTAAGAACTGAGCACTGGAGATACAGGTACTAGAAAGACAGAGAGACTTCCTGCATGGAGCTTACTGTCTGGGGGAGCCGACCACCTGACCATCCCATGGGGAAACAGACCATCACAGCAGGACAATAGCCTGCAGGAGGGGGGCACAGAACCCTGGCAGCTCATCCTGGGGAAGGTGCTCTAGTCTGGGAAAAGGCTTCTCAGAGAAAGGGGTCTGTTTTACTTTTACTTTTTCATCGTAGGAAGAGCGCACAGTTTAAGTGTTCAGCTTGATGAACTTTTACCCATGGGTGCACTCAGGCTCAGCCCCCAGAGCAAACTGGACAAGACCAAGTTCATGCCCAGCCCCTA